CGTGGTTGGGGGTGATAATGAAATTGAAGAAGTTGACTACACAAAATTTTTAGGTATAGTAATTGACAGAAATTGCAATTGGAAAAAACACATAGAAAGCGTATGTAATAGACTAAACAGCTTTGCATTTGCGCTAAGAAATCTTAGGGTATCTGTTGGACCTAATGCCGCTCTATTGGCTTATCATGGATACGTCTCTTCGGTGCTTAGATACGGCATAATCATTTGGGGTAACTCCACTGATTACAATAGGGCTTTTGTGGTGCAAAAGAAGTGTTTGCGAGCTGTATTTGGTGCTGGTCCACTGGAATCGTGCAGGCCTATTTTTAAAGATAATAAAATATTAACTTTGGCCTCATTGTATGTGCTAGAAATGGGAGTATTTGTAAAGAAGCACCCTCATTTATTTAGTACAGCCGATAGCGACAATAGATATAAGCTAGGCAAAATGTCAAGAGATCCTACAAAACTGACAGTGCCGAGATGTAGAACAGCATACTGTCATAATAACACAGGTCAAATGGCAATTAAGATTTTTAATATCATACCAAAGGTTGTTAGAGAGCTCCCATTCCGCCTATTTCGAAGGCATCTCAAAGTATGGCTTCTTGAAAATTGCTTTTATACTGTTAAAGAGTTTGTGAATACAGGAACAAATAGGAAACATGAATGAAGATTTTTTTAGACATATTACCTGACATTTGAATTTGTACGTTTTTTTTTTTAATTTATTGACATTGTTAATTGATTTATTGACATCTGTTTGATTATTATTGTTCTATTGACATTGTAATTCATTCATTGAAGCCTAAAATTTTTGTTTTTGACATTTTTAATAACTCTGGATTTCAATTTGAGAATTTAATTTATTAATTATTTCTATTTCTCCGCTTTTTCAATTATTGATATTCAACAACATTGTAGTTTAATTTTATTTTGTTTTGAATTGGAGTCATTATTGATTATTAGAAATTGTAACTTAGTTTGTCGTACTTTGATTTGGAATCATTAGCAAGGGTTGTGTTTTGATTGTTTGTTCTAACTTAGAATCATTTTTGAAAATCGCGATTTAGTTTTGTTAAAATATTTGCATGCCAAAGGAGAATGGCAGGTTTGTATGGAAGTTTTGTACCGCTATAAAATTTTGTATTAGTCATTGTTTTAACCAAGTGAATAGTCTGAACGATAGATATTTTTATTATGAAGTTTAGAAAAAAATTACATATTTTTAGAACTTGGGGTTCAAAAGTTATTTCACTTTGAAAATGTGCAAAAGGTATGTTAAGGTGGTACCACACTTGACATTGCGTAGTCGCTTCATTTGTCCAAATATTTGTAGACTACGTACAAATGGCGTCCAAATAGTATCTCTATATGTAATGGCGTGCAAATATATAGCAAACAAAGAAGAATAAATCCTCCAAACATGTTCTTTTTTGGCCGAACACAACAAATACGCAACGTCAAGTGTAGAGCCACCGTAAGCAAAATATCTATTACAAATGACAGATGACAGTTAACTGAAAAATGTCAATGTGCTCTCATGTGGTTGTTTATTTACAAAAAACAAAAATCTAAAAATACTGCTCGCTACTCAAGTGACTATTACACTTTGTATTATTAGAAAGAAAGAAAGAAAGAAAAACCATTTATTTTGCTACGACACACAACAAGAATTTAGAAACCCAAAAAATAACCTATGGTGCGTCGCAGCGCAAAAGGCAATTAGGAATGATCCTGTTAATTCAGCAAGCATGATGCACCTATAGAGTTTTAACTCGTCGAGTACCGGTTTTATAGACACAATTAAAGAACAATAGATCGCGGTCACCGGCGACCGCTTGGTGTTTGACAGATTAAAGAGTATGCCTCACAATCTTTTTCATTTCTTAGGTGCCTACGAAAATGCAAATTCATAATGTAAGCGACTGTCATTGGGTAGAAGGCCTACATTTAGCAGTGGAAGTCTTGTGGCGGATATGATAAAACTAATGTCTCACTTCACCTTGAATCTTGCAGGTAGATAGTCTCAAGGGTCTCAAGTTAATTCGATTTAAACTTAGCTTAGCTCTTTGAGAAAGTATTTCTTCTGAAAACTGGTTGCTTAGCACGCATGTAAGGATTAATTTCTAATAAGTAAGTCAAATTAGTAGAATCATCAACATTTTCATCATTAAGTCTATAAGTGGCCACTGCTGACCGAAGCCTCTTCTCGCATGGAGGTTTGAGCATTAATCACCATACTAGCTCAATGTGGGTTGGTAATTCAAACTTATAATAAGACATTATAAGCCCATGTTTCCTCACAATGTTTTCCTTCACCATTCGTCAGCGGTGTCTTTGTACTTTCTTAGATTATTGAATATACCAATAACTCGGAAAAAAGACACATTGGACAAAAGGTACTTTGCCGTTGGTAGGTTTCGAACCCGCACTCTCATGCATGAGAAGCGGGCTTCTTAAACCTCTGGGCCACCACATTACAACTAAAGAAAATGTAAAATGAAAATGAACATTTTTGATATAAAACTAAAGCTATCTAAATTAAATATGGCATTTATTTTATAGATTGATTCTTAAAATCACTTTTATCAAGATGGAATATATAGTTACTTACTAGGTTAAAATAAAACAAATGTATTATTTTGAAATACTTTTATTTCATTGTATTCAGGTTGTTTCTAGGAGTACTTCATCTAAAAAGAGAACAGGCCGTGTCATAGGTACAGCAGACATCAATTGCTGATATCTGTAAACAAGTAAGATAACTGTAAATAAAGTGAACAAAAGTACATTTTTTTCCTTTAGTTTTATATGTTATAATAATAAGTCTGATTCCCTATCTTAAAATGGAAAAGATAAAAATAAATATTTGATTACATTACTTCATTTTATAACATTTATTATAGTTATTCGTATAACACAGATCATAGGAGCTCAAACAGCATGCTAATTAATAAATTATAATTATAACATGAGTATAAACCTATTAAAAACCGCTTATATACTCCACATAGATACATAATTATGTAGGTACATTATAATGAGAATGCATACCTGTTGAAGCTTTGAGAGCCGAACAACATCTTCCGGCCTCATCTGTTCTACAAATGGCAATGTTAAAGTGAGGCTTAGTCCATGTTTACATAACACATTACTTCCTGATAGTGAACACTGTGAGGTGGTATGTCAGGTTGTGGTTTTATAGTTTCGACTCTTGTACGGTCTCTCAGTCAGTATGGAACATGATCTTCATCATGGGAAGTAAGCTAAAATAAGTAATATTATTAGAATATGATATTGACTTTAGATTACACTGTATATAGATAATAGTATGGTTAAATTATGCTTTATTACCTCTTGTGGCTGAATCCAATCAAATACTATATGAGCCAGTCTTTACTCCGGTTTGTTGGCACCTTCAATTAAAACCCTGTGTCACCTTATCATTGCAATGAATCACCCATATACGACACAAACATGCCAGTGACCAATTTGTTTGCTGGACATACTTTCAGCAACATCCCGATACATTGCTAATTGCCAGCAAGCATTGCAAATATGGTCGGTAGGAGAGATCTAGAATAAAAAGAATAAAATGATACATTATGGGTAGATAACACTATGCGCCTTCTTTTATTCAGGCAACATGGTGACTTTCGATATGTTATGGGTAAACTAGGTACTTACATCTCTAGGATAAGTCCACAATGGGATATTGTTGACCACGTCTAATCTTCACTCTCATTTCCTAGAGCATGCCGTCTCATGTGCGACAAACTCTGAATGCAATTAATACACTGTAAATTCATCATCGCGACAAATAACAACACACTGCACAAAATAATGTAAATAAGTGTCTTTTCGCAATTGTCACAACAATGATGCCAATAATACCAATTTGGGCTACGGAGGAACGGTTGCCAAACTCAACGTATCACCAGATGAATAAAATAACTTCAAATTCAACAAACACATCATAACATCGCATTTGAAATAAACAGCAATGCGCCAGTCAGTATTGACAAATTAATTGTCAATGTCATCAAGACAAATGCCAGTTCAACATTGCCATAATATTCAAGTTTGTTAAAATGTTAATTATCATTAATAATCCATGTAAACGTAGATTTAGATTGGATGTAGATTTTTATATTTACTTATAAAAATGTTTGAAATGGAAAGGAAAATATTTCATTGATAGATATTAAAATAAATGAGTTTATGAAATAGCGAAATTCAATATGCTCTGATTTCATCTTTACGCATGGCAACTTTGTAAACGTCAATCGCGGTTCGTTTTACGTATAATGGATTGCTTTTTATCATTATTGAATATCAGTTTTTCTAGGGTTTCCCAAGTTTTAAAAATCTATTAAATATGCTAACATAACGTACTTAGGAGGTTCTATAATGACCCAATTTTTTAATGACAAATCTTTTTTTAGCGAAGCGGTACAAAATCTGCCGTTCTCCTTTATAGGCGAGATATGATGAACTATTGTTATGTCATAAAATCTGTAAACCACCATATTTCAGGCAAATAAATGAATCTATCTATTGCTATTAATAGTAGTTAGTAAGTAGGTAAATAAAAAACTGTCTATTTTTTAATTCTTTATCTTATTATTTTTTTCCAGGGTGTACCTATCATTCCCGATGTACCATGTGAAGTATAAGCAGCCAGTTGTGCTACCTAATAACATTGGCCGGACATCCGGCATTCCGGCCCTACCTGACCGAACGCTCGCCGGACGCTACAACAAAGCTGCTTGCAAAGCTTTCGTCAGATAAAATTGAATTAATAATTATAAGGTCATATCAAGGTAACATCGTCAAACGAAAATTTTTAAAAATCGAAGTCTTTATTGAATAATACTTTTATAGATAAAAATCTTATTAATACATAGCATACTCAAACACCACCCAATTTTAAGACGCGCCTAAGTACAGTTCTGTCAGTCTGTCTGTCACTACAAATTCTTTGTAAAATGAAGGTGGTGGCACGATATTTACTGACTGAAGCCTACAACTTAAAATTGAATAGCCTTCCAGTATTCGGGCGTTAGAGTCTAAAATAAAAAGATGTTGCAAACTCAGGTATTCTAGACATAATAAGCTTGAATTCTTGCTGTCCGATACCTTCACTCTTATCAAAATTTATTTCATCCAGAATCTGTAAAAGGTATAACAGTATTAAATAAGTTAAGGCTGGTTTATAGTGTCGCGCTGACCGTACGCTGAATGTCGGCGCTGACAGTCGAGAAATATGAACTTCTAGGGACCGAGCGCGCTGATAGCTACGTGGCATTCAAAAACGCTACCTAGAAGTTCATACAATCTCCGCTGTCAGCGCTGTCGGTCAGCGCGACATTAAAACCAGCCTTAAAAGTTCCAGAGGGCAAAAAAGATGCATATAGGTACCTAAAAGTAATACCCTCTTTTCGCCCGTTATGAAATAAGTGTCGAGATCTATTTCAAACTCTTACCCAGCCCAACTCGGGACGTAAACTGAGACCCCTTGCTCGACCATCACATTTGCAACTACTTAACTAACACGACTTAAGCTCGACTAACTTGGCAAAGCGCTCAAAAAAGGCAACAACACTTTCAAAGTGTGGGAGAGCCATGCTTCGGCTCGAATAGGCCGGCTCGACTGACTCGATTCTTACCATCAGGCGATCCGTCTGCTAGTTTACCGGCGTATGGCTTATGCTATAAAAAAACAAGACGCGGCATTTTAAAAATTAAAAGAAAAAGTTCTAACGTACTAAATAAATAAGTACTCACACCTTTAGCAATTTTATCCTTAGATGCTTCATCGATGTAATGGTCGCGGTTATCAGTGACGCCTAAAGTCAAACGGTCTATGATATGACCGATATCCTTAGCAGTAATCTGGCCATCATCATCTAGATCTGCGAAAGTATAAACAGACTTAAATGGGTACATATTTTAGGAGGAGGCGCAATAATGTGTTTTATTCCACCCTTCTTCCCATTCAGATATCACCAGATCATGAAACGCTTTTTCTTTCATATATTTTCTTACACCCTTTACATCTATCCACGTTTATTAAATTCATCACTCTCGGTTTAGTAAAAGTCTAAATAATTTTTCAGTATAATGTAATAACAGGTAATAAAATTCGCAAAATTAAATTAACTTTTACATTTGATTTCAGACTCGATCTGTCAGTGGACTAAAATAGGGGATTCTCATAACATGACAATCTACCTACTACAAATTAAAAAACATTTACCAAATATCCTAAACGCCCAAGCGGCTTTGACTTCAGCGGGGCATTCAAAACTCATGGCCGAACATAGATCCACTAAGTCTTCAAAAGAGAAACAGTCATCACCTTTAGAGGAAAACACACTGAATATCCTGTCTAAAAACGGATTGTTCTGAAAATAAACGTTTATTATGACTATAACATAGTGCTTACACGCTGCATGTTATTACATTAAATGTTTGCTACCTGTAACACGTGGAATTTGGTCAATATGTCTTCTTTCCTAAATCTGTGATGAAAATCCTCTTGTACTTTTTCTGGATCAATAGAATAAAACTCTTTCATCAAACTGAAACATGTTCATTATTTTTACTGTTTACTAAAGAAATATTGAGATAAATAAATAAATGTTATCTCTAATTACTTACTATAGGATTTCTCCTTTAGTCAAATAAGTGAGAGATGTGTAGTCCTCAAGCACATCCTCTGTCAACCCAGGAAACGACTGTGTGCTTCCCATTGTTTTATCAAGTAAATCCGTTCAGTACTATGCGCAATCACTACCACTCAATTCGTTGATTGCAAATCCTTGTATACAATAACAAACGCAATCAGACAATATAAAAATATCTAATCATTAGTTCCTATTCACAATAATTACAAGAGATTACTTTCGATAATAAGGTTATTGCAATACAGTGACGTCGCGTCGTCTGTCGGCGACTGTTCAAATAAAACTGCAAGTTTATCAAGGAAAAATAATTTATTATTTTATATTAACACCCGAGATCAAACTCAGCAATTGTAACACATACATACACGAAAAGTCAATGAAATACAAATACGGCAATATCATGCTTCATTCTACAATTTGCTAATGTCCTCATCCAAGAAGACGTCGTTTTATGGGCTACTAGTCGCTAATCAAGCAAAACGAAATAAATATATGAGACATAACAATACATCGTAGTCAACCTTTTGTAAAGGAAGTATCTAAGATGAGATTGACTAAATATTGCTAATTATAATTATAGCGATTGGTTCGAAAATTACTAAAAATCTTTCTATAATCGAGAAGTCATAAGAAGTTTTACTAAATCTTGATGAAGTCGACTTAAACTTAAACTAGTCACTAATAATAATATGTACATAATGTTAATAATTTTTGCTGTTCCATGCAGTTCATCTCTTCGGGAAATCAATATTATCGAAACTAATTTGTCGGCGCGCTCTCATTTTAGCTGCTTCTTCGAATGAAGGCATGGAATTGGACTTGAAGAACCCTAAATTGGACTTGTCGAGCATGCTAAGACCGCTGCTGCTATTGGAATTACTGTCTATATTAACTAGTTTGTCTTGAAGGATATTTTTGGAGCCACTTTTTGGTTGATCCTGTTTAATTCCAATATGGGTGTTCTCCTTGATCTGTGAGGTTGACGTGCTGGGGATCATCTGCCGAGCTTTCATCTGTTGGTAAGCGGAGGCTGAAATATAGCCTGTTACTTTGTTGTTGGCTTCGTTAGCGAGTTTCATTTGTTCCTCTTGGAAACACTCGTCGACGGAGCGGCCTTGTATGATTGCGAACACGTACTGACGAGCAATCCTGTAACAATGTTGAAGTTTGATATCAGGACATGGACACAATATTTTTTCATGATAGAAAGTAAAATATATACATATAGTAAAGTGAAAAAGATATATTATGGAAAAATATGCTAAAAATTTAAGATATTAAATAAATTTCATTCCTTTTATTAAAATTCATCTGGGACTCACTTGAGCATAACTTCAGAAGTGGATAACTTTGGCGCAGCGAGTTTAGCAGCGTGCGGAGGGAGCGCGAGTAACCGGCGCGTGAGTCGTGCCAATGATGACGCCTTTTCACGGAACCCAGGTGAAGACATACGCCAACCATGCACACGAAGAGCCTCGGAGACAGCCCATAATAGTTTCTGAAAAGGTGTAAGACAATATTAGAATCAGTAAGATTGTCGTTTTTAACAGAAAAAACAAGGCTCTCAGTTGCGAAGTTCTCACGATTAGGTGAACCGATTTGGATGCAGTTTTCAGAAAAATGTTTGTTACACTTAGGATAAGGTTTTAGTATATGAATTAACCGACTTCAAAAAAGAGGAGGTTTAAGTCAGAATTATTACAATTATTGTCTATAATGATAGTTAAGGGTTAATTTTCAGTCTTGAATGTTATCAATAGTAATAAAATTATCATGTTCATGAAACAAACTGGTGAACTCTAAGCACTAGACATAAAGATACCGAAATTTAACCAACCTTTTTGTGAGTCTCATTCAAATCACTAGTCTGCCTCGTAGTAAATGCCTCCGACGCTCGTCGAGCAAAATTATGTGAATCTGAGCTCCCAATTGTATCACCGCCAAACGACAAACTCTTTGCTATCTTACTCCTCCCATTGTCATTGTCATCATCGAACGGGTCGCGCTTCCTCTTTAGGAACTGATCACTCTGTGTGCCATCCATACTCTTTGTTTCCGCTGGGCGGATCGGTGAGCCGAATAGAGCTCGTTTGGACTTCATTGCTTGAGCTGGCACAGAGGATGATGGTGCTGGAGGAACGGGTTTTCTATTTTCCGGACTGAACAGAGCCCTTTTTAATGTCTCTCTTGCTGGCTGTGATCTGGTCAAATGGTCGGAGTCCATGAGTAGTCTTCTCATAGCCTTTTTCCTGCTGGAACCGCCGCTTCGTGTCTTAGGAGTCTTTGCTGGAGTTTTCTTGCCCGGAGTCTTACGGATTGGTGTTCTCTTGCCCGGCGTACGCCTTGTGCGCGGACTCTTCCTTTCTGACGAGTTGATCAGCTTCCTGTGCGGGAAGAAACTTTTGGAAAAAAAGTTGATGTCAGTATTTGATATATAATCATAACTTGAAACATTTAGTCAAAATATAATATTAATTTAAACAATTTTAGTACTGCAAGTCTTTGAAAAAATTCTAATGCCTGTTAGATCTTTTTAAGTGACATTATAATTTCACTAATTTATTTTTTTGAAATAAATATAAATATAAAGCACACTTACTTCTTATCGATGAGCACCATTTTGGCGGTGGACGCCTGTGCCTTCTCGTTGATGGTGGCTGCGCTGGCGAACGCCTGTCTCCGACGCGCCAGGTGCGATAGTCGGCGGCCCGGGGACTTGCATTGAGCCATCCTGAGTAAAAAATGTGCTATTACATTTCTATAATATTATATAGCGCAAGATTTTGTTTGGCAAAACAAAATCAGGAACTTACTCAACTCAGGAAATACTATTTCAAATTAAAAATCATGTTAATGATCATTTATATATAAGTAACAAAAGGGAAAGAGGTGCACCTAATAAATGTAAGACTTGAATTGCAGTCTGAATGCTATTACAAGTTATAGAAAAGTAAAAACTTATCAAGACTTCTACTCTATTTACAGTAACTTAGTGACCCTTCGACTCAAGAAACCAATAAAAAAAATAAAAATAGAGTGAAACCAAACATTATTTATGTACCAACATGTCTTATGCTGAAATACTCAAACGCCACTCAATTATAAGTCACGCTTATAATTCTGTCACAATAAATTCTTTGTAAAATGACAGAGATGGCACGATATTTAACCTTTCGTGTGTCTAAGACGTGGATCCACGTGCTACAATGTATTTTCTATTGTGTCTCATATTGGTGCATTCAAGCAGTTAAATACAACTTGACATTGCATTTCAGTATTCGGGCATTAATTTGATAAAATAACTAATATTATATCAATACACTACTGTTACAATTTATGTCAGGGCTAATTTCTTACATTTCTTGCTAATGTCATTTATAAAGTTACAAATATGCATTTTGAAGATGAATGCTGATTTGAAAACATTAAGTAATTAGGTCATTGACTAATGCTGATTAGATAATATAGACCTCTGCATTACCTTAAGTAGACAACTTAGATAAGCACATTTTTTACAATTCTATTCCAATTAAGAACAAAAAGCAATACTTTTGGAGTTAGATTTTATCTTTTCTGTTCTATTTATATAATAATATTATCTATGTGAGCTTCTGCTATATACTGCTATATACTGGACTAATACATTTTAGTTTAATACTTTTTGTAAGATGTTACTTTTTTAAGTAGAAAACAATACATAATATGTTGTTTATCATCAATCTTCAAAAAAGACAATGTTTATCGCTCTAAAGTAGCATGTTAAAAAGTTGCCTTGCAATTTCTACCTGGCGAGTAGTTAAGTAATATTACACCTATACATATATAGTGTACACAATCGCAAGGTACCGACACACAGTAATATCATATTTTAATTTGTATTTGATAAAATATGGCTATACATACTTGAGCCTCAGCGCCTTCCTCTTCGAAGCACTAGTGGGTGATTGCATGCCTCCGGAGTGGACGTTAACACTTGTATCAGTCTCTGCACCAACATATCTCTCTCCATAACGCAATGCTAGCTGCTCTAGCTTCTCCGAGTGCTTAGTTATGTTGTAGCTAAAAATGAACAGAAATAATGTTAAAGAAAAGTTTCACAAACCTAACAAAATAATAAATAACAATAAGTTACATATTTTACTGCATTTATGACAAAACTAGCTTCTGCCAGCATCTTTACTTGAGTTACCATGAGATAAAATGAATTCTATGTGTTAATCAATTTCATTCCAATGCCTTCAGCCTTTTTGATGTGAAGGAGTAAGAAACTAATAAACATACAAACTTTCGCATAACTAATATTAGTAGCATAGCTAATTATTCATAATGATAAGTCTGATGATGATGTTAAGTCTAATGATGACCACTTTAATGATGATAAGGCTGTTTTTTAATGACCACTTCCTCAAACAATTTAGAGGAAACTATAAACACAATAATGTGGTATAATACAATGTTACACATTTAACATAATAGCAACATTATAACCTGCATTATTCAGTCAATCTTCTTATTATAACTTTTTGTTTACATCTTTTCTTCTGTCAGTTTTATTCTGACTAGTATTTGCATTAAAAAAAATCGCATCAGTTTGTAATAACTATAATAATATGCAAAATATACTTACTACACATCATAATATCTGCACTTGATCACGTCAGGCCACTGTGTATCTTTAGCTTCAGACATACTGGCCATTTTCAAATGCACACTCCTATCATTGATACTTGTATCCAGCTCCGCAGCCGAAGAACTTCTGGTTTTCTCAGTATTAAAACTTCTACTGCTACTTCCATCCGTGTCCTGCGTTTTGACATTCTCAGGGATTTCGATGAACGAAACTCTTTTTGTAGGCGTAGTGGGATTTATGTCAGGCACCACAGTTTTTGCATGTTCGTCAAACAATGGTAGGTGACAGTAGTACTTCTTCAACATTTCTGTCACATCAGTCTTTATTATGGTCACTGACGGTGGTGGCAGGACTCCTTGGAGGGTTTCCTGTGTGGTTGATAAATGATAATTATAGGTTTATTTTCCCCATTGGTTACAAGATATGGACAATTGGACATACTCATAAATTTTGAACCTCAAATAAACAAAATGAAAGCATATACAGCCAAAATGATTACAAAACATCATGCTATTAGTTAAGTCAATAGTATTAACAGGTTGGGAGTCACAAGCTAGTATTATTGTTGAGATAACCTA